TGAGTTTATGATCCGGAACCCTAACTATAAATTTTGTTCATTTATTTTAATTTTTTCTGTTTTAATCACGATCAGATTTTTTCTAGATCCTGCATTAAATTTATATTTTGACCTCACTATTTGGGGAACAGACACAATCTTTATAGATTGGATAGGGATTAGTACTTCTATCATTTACGCAGGTAGAACAAAAGTCATCATAGCAGAATGTCAAAAGTCAAAACAAAGCATTTGAGAATTGGCTTACTATTCATATGGAGCATAGCGTCCTGGAGATGTTGTCCGACAGGAGTTCCGCTCTGACTCTGCTGGGGTGCAGGCCATCAGCGCGAAAAAGCCTAGGACGCTCCCAGAAAAGATTCCAGTTATTAACAAAGAGTCGTTTCTGTTCTTTACACCATGACAATAACCATTCATTTAAAGCAAAAAGTATACTGAACCTTTCGTGTCCTCGTCGATACATGGGAAGCGGTCCTGACACGATGATCGTCGTCGCGGGCGATGTGCTGTGCACAGTCTCGATCAGGCTCCTGAAGTCCCTCTTCAGTGTCTCCGTCTGCCGCAACTTGGTGTCGTTAACCCCAGCGTACTACTAAGTACTACAACACTTATTCACACGCAATTGCTCTCTCAATGCATTCAAACAAATATAATCAGTGCTACTTCATCTGTATCCGATTTCGAATTAGCAGAAATCCTTAAGAAATGCATCGATCCGTAGGTAAAATAACTGACGAAAATGTAGTTATTTTCATCACAAACAAAATTTGCACTGCAAAAAGCAGCAATTACACCTTTTAATGCTGACAACCATGTTATTAGCTTGTCATGCGGTAGGAAAAAAGTTTGCACACTTGTGTTCCAATAAGCCACTTTGAAACTCTCCTCTTATTTTATTTATTTAATTTTTTAATATACGTTATGAACAGAACTGTGATATTTCAAACAAACTGAAATACTTTAGACGTGAAGCAAAGACAGAGCACAGTCTGTCACAGGCAATTCTAGTTGCATTTTTCATCAATTAATTTCTTAAATTATTGTTTGACTATGTGAAAAAAAATTTTTTTTGCCCCGATGCCAAACTTACTTGCCAACCCCTGCCCTATACTATTCAAAAGCTTGGAGTCATTTCTTTTTGGAAAGAAATTATAGAAATTAATACTTTTATTTAGCAAGGTTGCTTTAAATTGAACAAAAGGGATGATAAATAAATTTATAATGTTACAAATTTCCATTTCAGACAAATGCTGTCCTTCTAAACTTTCTATTCATCAAAAAAAACTGAAAAAAACTGAATATTAGAATGATTTCTGAGGGATCATGTGACTGGAGTAATGATGCTAAAAATTCACAATCACAGGAATAAATTACATTTTAAAATATATTCAAATAGAAAACAGTTATTTTAAATGGTACAAATATTTTAAAAATTTACTGTTTTTGCTGTACTTTGGATCAAATAAATGCAGGCTTGGTGAGCAGAAGAGACTTCTTTAAAAACTTTAACTCTTACTGTTCAAAAACTATTGACTGGCAGCGCATGTTATAGTCTGAAGTTAAAGATATATTAATAAGGCGAATCCAACGAGTGAAATGCCTGTGCTCAGCTGTGAACT